TGTGTGTGTGTGTGTGTGTGTGTGTGTGTGTGTGTGTGTGTGTGTGTTGCGGGGACCTGGGGATTTGGGTGGGGTGGGGGAGGTAGGTAGATGATACAGTATTGGGTGATATTCTGGTTTTTGGATTAAGTGATGTGTTCATGGGTGCTGATTTTATTTTTAGACTTTATAACCTACATACACGATGCATACTTTTTTATAAAAAGATAAAGGAAATTAAACACATAACCATTAACATAATGATTACTTGGGGAGTATGTCACTGCACTATGTGGACTTAGCTTGGTGCCTGTGTGAAGTAGGCACGCAAGAACTGTTGGCTGATTGACAAGACCCCAGGTGATAATTTTAAAGTAAGCTGATTGTTGTCATACCTGAATAAGATTGCGGTATGTCTCCCCTGCCCCCTACCCATTTTCTCCTGCTTCCAATCTCATTTCCAATATCGTGACTAGAATAATAGCATGGACTGTTGCGTGGTCTCTCCTGACTGCGGTTATGGGAGACATGGGCTGGGCTGAAGCTGGCATTTCTCAGCATCACCTTGTCTTATATATCTAGTGCTCAGGATGGGGCAAAGAACGCTGTCATGAAGTGTTAAAACGCTTTCGGTTTTACCCAGTGTAAGTGTGACCGTTCAGACTGGGAAGCCGCTATTTACGTTAAAGCAGTGCCTGGCTAAAATGTTCGCGGCATTAAACTGGCGAGGCTCTGAAATGAAACCATCAGAGATTTTAATTGGAGTCCACATAGTCTCCTGTTTTATTTTCCCAAGCAAATATTGGGCACTGCGGCTTTATTCCTGGAAATGAGGATTTGAATTGGGTTTCCTGGTACAAAATGCTTTCTTTGATCTCTTGGAGTGAAAACTTTGTGTTTCTTTCTGTGGCCAACTCCAGCTCTTAAAAGAACCAAATGGAATACTTACCTCTTCTTTTTTACTACTTGGCCGTAGACTGCTCTTGCTTGCCATGCTAGTTTAAGAATCAGAAATTACAAACCAGGATTTGTCTATTGGGACAAATAGAGACCCAAATTAAAGACCTCTTGTGAAAGAGCTTCCTCAAGAGTTGGTGTGGTCGGCACATCACAGCCTTTGGTTCAGATAGAAGGTAGTTTTACTTGAACTTATGCTCTCAAAATTAATAGGAGACCCAGCAGCTTCCTTTTTGAAGTTGAAACAAATATTTCCCCCTACCCCCAGTATTCAAACCGACTGCACAGTTGAATAATATTCTTGTGCTCTTGTATGTGTTTCTGGAAATCTGAGCTTGTTTATGTGTCTAAAAGCCTCTCCTGTGATCCAGGAGAGCTTTTTTCTCCGGAACCACCGCCACTCAGTTGTTTGATTTTTGGGTTTCAGTCTTTGACCAACATTCCACTTTGCCCATTGGAATTGCTTCATTGTTTGCTCTGGGTATTTGACCTTTATTTCTGTGACTGGGAAAGTGACTTTACATTTTAGCCTTTCCAAATTTTGTGGAGGGTCATGCAGCAGGTGAAGTTTGTTTTTGGAGGATGGGCTAGGTCAGAGGGTCCGATTTAGCGCAGGTGCCCTGATGGATTTGCAGGAGTTCAGCTCTCTCATCA